TGGCTGTGGCTGGGAGTCTTAAAGCCACTTCCGAGTCAACTTAATTTTAGCTTGCGGCAACTTTTTTGAATGCCAAATGCAAACAGAGACAGAGACAGAGACAGAGGCAGCGGCAGAGGCCTCACAGACGTTTGGCAAACAAATACACACACACACACACATACAACCACAAAGTGGTAGAGCGGGAGTCCATGTTCGGTTTTTGTGTTGACTGCATAATTTAAATGTTGCATGCTGCAAACTTAACTGTTTTTGCGTGTGGCCAATGGATTCAGCTGACCAGCTGCTATTTTTCAACAAGTTGGCAGCGCCATCTATCGACGAGAACTAGCTTTGAGCGCGGCAACTAAATTATCTGCATTGTTTGCGTTTGTCCTTTGCCAGCGAGCGCCGTTGCTTATATATTGCTGTTGTTGTTGTTATTGTCTGCTCTCGTTGCTGTTGTTGCTGTTGTTGTTATTGTTGTAGCTGTTGCTCTGTGGCGATTGTTGCAATTTAAAAGGCCTCGCCGGCCCATTTTGTGTGCCATGGCATAAATTTCGTGGCTAAATTGCGTATGCGCCGGGCTGGTTAGACCGCACCGACTAGTTTATTGCGATTTTGTTGGCAACTGCAAACTAGCCTCGCACAATGAAATCAATTAACTCGTGGGGCGCAAGCGGGAGGCATGTCAAGCGGAGCCTAATAAAAGGCAAACATAATGGCATTAAAGTGAAATATATATTGGCCACACTTATAATTATATTCTAGAGCCAAATAGAGCCCCAAAAAATGAGTATTACCAATTTAGGAACTTTAAAAAATCTTAATTGTTTTTTTTTTTTTGTTTATTTCTTTTTTAATTTTAATGCGTTTACTGAAGACTCTTTATTATTTTAGTATTAATGAGAATGAATAAATAATAATAATAATAGTAATGATAATTATATTATATAATTATTATGTTATACATTCATTTAATTATATATTTTACAATATTACAACTATTTACATTGAACAAGCTGCATAATATTAATATATTTTATATATTATAATAATTTCCTAGGAAAAATCTTATCCGTTTATATTATTCATTTTGTGCCTTCATATTTAAAGGGGGCGTTAATGATAATGAGGTCAAATAAATACCTATGGGATGATCTCAGTCAGAGTGTTAGATATAATAGCTTTTAAATGTACAATATTAAGGCTATGCTTGAACTACTTTACATACATAATTTCAACTGATATTCAATCATCAATAAATAAACAAAACAATATAAAAATCGCTAATTGACAAGCAGGTTAATTAATCTCTATAAGTGTCAAACACTTGACTAATTAATACAACAAATATATTGTTTTTTTTTTTTTTTTTTTCTAGGAAATGAAATGTAATATATAGGTTATAGGTGTAATGCGATTAGTGAAATGTGTATTGTTGATAATGCTATCTTTATAGCTACTGTGAGTGTACAGGGTCGGAAAGGGTAAGGAGGCATTTATAGAACACACGTAATTATTTTATATATGTATGTATTTCTCCGACTGACACATCCCGCAAATTATCACTAAAAATCATTTCGTATGATGTAATATTTTAAATGCTCGGAAATTAATACAAATATTTGGTTTCTTAAAGCAAATAAATGCATAGATTTCCTCAGTCCGAGTATATATATCATATTTCAGGTCTCTAGCATCAGTACTGCCCAAAATACATCCGAGTTTAAAAAATCACTGTATCTTCAGGTCCGATTTTCCCCGCCCCTAGTGATCGTAGACATTTAAATTTCAAGAATATTTGTCTAATGTTTAAGAGTTGGGAAGTCAGGAAGTCTAAGGCGAAGCCGCTGTCATTGTTGTCCTCGGCTTGGCACATGACTCGTTAATCATTTGCCTGCAGAAATTACGTATACGTCACGTGTAACCGGTCAGATAAGCGACTCTTGCGGCTGGCATTGGGCAAGGTTAACGTTGCGGCTGACACGGCAGCACAAAGAGGGCTTTCGCATTTGATAAATGAATGTAGTTTTGCACATGTAACGGGTTCAAGGTGACTAACATCAGGCACCTGGCTTGGCTGCGTGCCCAACTCGAAGATGCTCCAAGCCAAAAATTATGCAAATGAGCTCAGACAAAAGAGAGCAAGCAATTTGTCAGCCATGCACTTCGCTCCGACCCTCGGCCCTCGGCCCTGGGCCCCACCCCAAAGAAAGAAGGAAAACTGAAAACTGCAAACTTTTCGCACAGACAAATCAATATAAGCCGCTCGCAATTGCAATTAAAAAACTTGGCCTAAAACTTGCCAAAGTCGAAAAACGTGACTCTAGCAAATGACGTTCACTAATTAGGCAGGCAAAATCAATAGAGACATATGAACTGCGCCAGGAATTTATATATAGGTAGATCATCAATCGACAGTGCATGCAATCGGAGTGGGGGCAGGGCAGCTTACATTGCGCATACGACACGTTGTATTCAAATCAAAGTCAACAAAATCTGACGCACAGAGAGAGAGAGAGGAAGAGAGGGGAAGGCGAAAGAAAGAGAGAGAGAGAGAGATGGGGCGCATTGCAGACTTTGGCTTGTTGCATTTTATTTCCTTTGCGTTGTCATTTAACTGTCAGTTTGTCTGTGTGTCCGTGTCGCACGGCTGTCGCTTAAATGTCGCCCAGGGAGCTTAGCAAATGCGTTCGGAGACTTGCCAGCTTTTTCTTTTCCATTCCTTATCCTTTTTTTTTTTGTTTTTTTTTTTTTTTTTTTTGCGTCACTAGACAGTGGCCATAAAACTGCGCAACATATGTGGCATATACACATGCGTGTTAATTGCGGAGGTGGGACAGAAGGCGGAGCTGAAAGATTTGAAAAAACTCTATTAAGCTCTACTTTGCGGTTCGATACAGCTTACAGCTGAGCTTTGCCACATCTATATATATATAGATTTATATGCATCGAATATTATTTATTAAAATGTATATAGATTTAAAAAGTTTCACCTTTGCCAATTACCTCCGCGAATTTATCAGCTGATAAAAACTTAGAAAGTTTTGTTTTTGAGCTGAGTGAAAAGCAAACTTTTTCAAGCCTTAAGTAAATGAAAATTCTTCCTTTTTATATTTGAAGGCTATACAAGTTTTATGCATGTATGTATATGATACAGTAGCATGTAAATGATATGTGGCAAAAGAATAATTTGGGTGTATTTAAAAGTTCAAAACTTAGCCAAAGCTAAATTTTCCTTTTTTTTTTTTTTTTTTTTTTTTTTAATTTTGTTTTTCCAATATATTTGAAAATTGATATTAACACTATAATATTTTATTTTAAATTATTTTATTTTATTTTAGACGTAATTTCTTTTATTTTAAATTATTTCATTTCAGCAAAACAAAATAATTCAGTTGTGGCTCAGTTAAGTTCAGTTGTGTTGGGCCTGTAAAACTCTTGGAAATGATTTCAAAGTTTATGGAAAATCGTGCTAATAGAGAGATTACTGTAGAAGGTAAAGGAGACAAAAGTGAACAGAAGATTTGGCATTGTCAAGTCTTGAGTCTGAGTCTTAAGTCATACTTATAGGGCAATTAAGTAGCTTTAATATGGTATCGAAAATAGTTCTTTCCTTTCAAATGTTACTCCAATTAATCATATCGTTGCTTATAGCACTTGATCTACCCAACCAGGTCTATCCATCCTCACCTTTCCACACAATCATTGCTCATTAGAGTTGCCCTTTTCGAAACGCACTTTCAACAATCACATATAAATATGAGCAGACAACGGCACAAGTGTTGTTTAACAGGCAGCGCAAATATTTAACGATGCCACGCACTCAACTAGCTGCTTAAGCCGGCTAAGCAAGCACTCTGCCAGGACTCGAAGCATATGAGGGCGTGGAAAACCGGCACTCATCGTTAAGTAAGTGCCAGGAGTTGTGCTCAGGGGGCCAAAAAGAGAAAAGTCCTAACGAAATATTGTATACACTTACAAGTGGCAGTATATATATATATAAATATATATATAGGTATGTGTATATGTGCGTCTGTTGGCCTGGTTTCTCACCATGTTCGACTTTGCAGCCATAAGTAGCCGGCAGCCTGTCTGCTGCAATATCGTGCATCGTGAATCGTGGCAGTCAGCAGTTGCCATTGCCCGTTGCAGTTGCAGCTGCCACAAAAAGCCAGCTGGCTGCTTAAAGTATGCAACGCCTCGCTGCACATGTGCGAGGGTGCGAAGGTACACAGATACTCACACGCACACACACACACACACACACAGCTATTTCCTTCTGTTGCTCTCCATTATTTTTCAATATTTTCTAGCATTTTATTTGTCTGCCTCAATTTAAGGCCAACGGACCTAGACTCGAGTGGAAATTAAATTTCAAAAAAGAAAATTTCACAACAATTCACAGGCCTGGCGGCGCTAAAGCTTAATCCTTTATGCCTCCTGCTGCTCCTTTGCAAAAGAAAAAAAAATGCGAAAAGAAATGCAAACCGTGGACTGCTAACGAAAAAGAAAAACAAAAAGGAAAAAAGAAAAGGAAACAAAGTTACCAAAATACTTTGGCGCATTCCGCAGTCCTGAGCGCCGTTGGCTACACTCAAAAATGTTTGCTGGCGGCCCAATAAAATCATCAGGAAATCCGTAGCCAGAATTGCAGCTGCCAGGACACCAACACCGCCGCCATCAACAACAACAACAAAGGCAACAGCAGACACGACTGCCGCTGTCTTTCAGTTTCTTCTCTTTGGCTCGCAGCAGCAAAAAATGTGCCTTTGCCCTGGCAGCTTCTCTCTTACCTCATGGCTCTTATCCCTTACGAAATTTCAGCATCATCTTCCTCTTCTGGCCATCTCTCCTTGAAACACTTCCATTGCTTTAATAAGAGAGAGGGGGCAAGGGAGGAGCAAGCAGAAGACTTTCCCTTAAATTGGCCCGGCTCGACTAGTTGAAGTCTTCAAGTGCCAAATCAAATGCAATTATTCTCATTATTTTCATGTTCTCTTCTTCATCTTTTGCAGTTAAAAAATTTGCATAAGGTAGATGCGTAACACCTGGCAAATACATTGACGCAAACCTCACTACGAGTCTTGTAATGTAAGTAAAAAATCTCTTTTTCCAGAAATATAAAATATACAATCTACAATATGTATCATATTATGATATAATACGAAATGAGAGCTATTCGATTATAGAGTTGACCCTTGACTTGTTGTCAGACTGGATGTCCTAAATGTCTTAAGAAATTAAAGTAATAATAATTTCTTAATCCTTATAATATTCTAAGAATTACAGTAGGCAAGGGGATCATTTTTTTTTATTTTTTATTTACTCAGAAATTGAAATTCTCCATGATTATTGAGATCGAATTTCTTTCAAGAGCGCAGATTTTTTTTTTTTTTTTTCGATTTATGACAATTTTCGATTACGAATTATCCAGACTCGACTATATTTTATGTTTTTTTTAGGCATTTTTATCACTTCTTCGAACATTGTTTGCTGAATTGGTCGTTGACTCTTTGATACTATATTGTTCATCATCTAGGAATATTAAAAATAGCTAGTCTCAACTGCCATGATCTCCCTTGCCATGTAAGTGGAGCATAGCCTTTGAATGCTAAGAATGCTTTCTGGCATTCCATTTATTGTTGAGCATTGAGATTAAAAGAGCCGAATGCGTTGGCCGTTCATGCCACTTTCAACAAATTGTTAAACAAGATTTTCTATTCCTCATATTTAATTTAGTAATAGGAATCTATGATATTTTAATCATAAAGGTTTATGTTTATCTAATTTATTTTTTGGTTTATCTTATACCATCTTCTAACTTTTAGAACAAAGAAAAAATGGCCACAATACAAAGTTCAATTTGGATTCCATTAAATTTTATTATTATATAATTTTATAAATTTCTGAATTGATTGTCCCATTATTGCAACAGCTCTTTCATAAATTTATAATTATTGAAAAAAAATTTCACAAAAATTACAGCTTATACAAATATAGATTACAGTATCTGAGCCCTTAAAACTCATATATTAAACAGAGAGAGTTCTAGTAGGCAGCCAATTATATTTGACAGGCGGCAGTTGAAGTTCAGTTGGCGATTTCGTTTTTATTTTCTTTGGGGAGCAATCAGCTCGAATCCCTTTTTTTCACTAAACACGACCATAAAAAGCATTGCAAGTTCTTCACCAGTTGAGTGTTAATGCAGGAAGTGAGAGAGGGGGGAGAGGTAGTGTGTGTGTTTGTGTGTGTGGGTGTGTTTGTGTTTGAGTGTGGTCTGGCCACAAAGGAAAATCCTTGCCGAATACGTGCGGCATTTGCAACGCCAATAAAATCACAAAGTCACGTAGGGAACGCCTTGGCCCTTGTCCATCACTGGGAAACGGAGCAACTCCTTTTTTGGCTCCCCTCACCAATTTTGGTCCTTTTTGCGTCCGTCTGTGCTTGTGTCTGCTCTCGTTTTGTACTATTTTATGGATGTCCTGCGGTCCTGCTTTACCCATGGAAGCGTGCCTTTTATTATGACAAGCTGCGGTTTTGCGGCTCACCCCGACCCGCCTCACCGCGCCACGCCTTGCCACAATTGCCTTATCGCTGTTTGGGGCCAGCTTGTCATAACTCAGCGTTGTGTTTGTGTTAATAGTTTTTGTGTTGCTATTCCTGTGGCTCGCCTACATATTTATGGCTCGCCGAGGTGCCTGTGGTGTGCGTGGGTGGGTGGGTCAGTTATTAGGATTAATGCCCGAGAATATGCTTGACAATTGTTGCTTTAGCAAGCCCAATTCCGACTACTTGCGTGCGTGTGTGGTTGGGAGATGAAGATTGATTTGATAAGGAAATATACTTGAGATTATTAGTGGATTAATACTGAGCAGATAAACTGTTTCCTTTTGTTGCCTTTATTTCCAAGCTAAGCAAAATTATTTGTACTAAATTTATTGTAAATCCTTAAAGTTGAATATTGCTAGAGATTAATATTTATTTTGTATTTATTTGTTTATTGCTTATTCCTTAATTCCATTATCTTTAACTATAAATACATATTTAAACACTACTTTTAGGCTAAAAGGCTTAAGTATTAAGCATTGAGCTTTTGACTCGAACTCTCATTTTATTATTCATTAAACGCTTTTCAAATTTGTTCGTTAAATGCTTGCATTATTTATATATGAAATAAATCAATAAAAAAATGTAAAATGAAAAGAAATATAGATTAAATATACTCACAATCAAATGCTCTTAATCACTTAAAATTTCCTCAAATCAGCACTACGTTTAGACAACAAGGTCTCCAGTTTTCGCCTTGTAATCTTGGCCTGCTTATTCCGCTCCAAGCTGAGTTTGTTTCGGATTAGTCAGTGGTAACTTTCGCTTGACTGGCTTAAAGTGCATATCATGTGCGAATCAATGTAAAGGTTGCCCCCGCCTCCTTTTCTCTTCAATCTTTTCTCGCTTTCGATGTCGCTGTCTCTGTCTCGCTCTTATCTGTATCCCTCTTTATGTGCTTAGCTCTTCAGCTGCTGCACACAAACAAACGCGCTTTTAAGCACAAGGTTGTTGGCTATCCATCAAATGATGTACGCTTTAAGAATTTATGAAAACGATGTAGCTGTTTTTATGGTAACCCTGCCAACTATCAGCGAACAGCAAACCCAAACGAAAACGTAAACGTAACGTAACGTAACGAAACGAAACGCAGCGAAACGAACCAAAGCTGGGCAAACAAACAGAGTCTCAAAAACAAAGATCCTTTTCACAGGATTGCCACAAAAGGTTGCCAATGCCATTACCACAGGCAGGGCTGCACAATCCCTGCTTCACTTGTTGTTGTAGCTGATATACCCTGTACTCATTGCTACTTAAGGTAAAAGGGGTGTGCTTGCTCTGCTAACACGATTGATTGCTGTAAGTCGAATCAATCGGATATATCGGGTAATGTGTTAATGAGGAAAACGTTGAATTGGGTATAAAGATTCTCAAAGCTAGGTGCGTATAACAAAGATTGTCTCGGTTAAAAATTCTGTTATATCTTCCCCAATATCTCCAAGATATTCCGATATTCCAAGTTTTCATTTTGGATACTGGCATCGGAGCTAGGGTATTTTCTAGTCAGACACTCTCTGGATTCTACTCTTTAAAGTTTTCATAGTTGTTTCAGCTATGTCTTCCTGAATTATTTCAAATATTCCAAAGCAAAATTGGGATTTGAGCTACTTAAATTATAGTTAGGGTATTCCCTAGTCCATCAGTTCCTCGCTTCTAGTCTTACTTGTGCTCATTGTTGTTGTTGTTGTTTCGGTTATATCCTTGCAATGATTTTCCATCGCTGTGTTTACCCACGTTCGTCCCCCGACTCATCTGTTTGCCCGGCATTTCCCGTGCCCCGCCCACGGCTGCCCCGCCCCGCCCCGACCCGGCAGCTAGGCAACTCACTGAGCTGTGCGAAAACCCGCGGCCCTGGCCGGGAATAAATTATTAAATCATACACAGTTCTAGTTTAAGGCAAGCAGCTTAAAGTTCATCTACGGGTTTACCCAGCGGCGGGGCGTGGCTGGCGAGGGGCTTGGCGGGTTGGACTGGTGCCTGAGCCATTTATGAATATTTGCGGCGCTGAAATTTCACAGTCAGCGCTTTGCAAATCTGCTTATGAGCTAGCTGCTCAAGCGTCTAATTGGAGTTGCGGCAAGAAACTGTAGCATGCCCCAAGCGTCCTCATCGAGTGCAGCCAAAGAAATCGCTTTAGCAATCGATAATCGCTTAATTGACCTCACGATGGACGCGTTGATGCACTCCTAGACAAGCCCAAGGAATAAAAGAATACGAAATACAAATATATTCCATAATAAGGAAACGACCTAAGGAATTCTCAATTGCGGCGTCACGTGCGCGATGCCTAAAAGACGGCAATCGAAATCGCAAATGGCTTAACTTGAAGGCTGTCTCAGCGTGAACGTGTGTGAGAGTGTGTGCGTGTGTGTGAGTGCATGTGTGCGTGTTTGTTGGCCAAATGAAGTTAGTGACATCAGAAGTGGCGGCACAAGAAGAATATTATTTGCGCATTTAGGCTGCCTTCTCGAAATACACTGCGAATAAAGCTTGTGACATAAAAGAAATTATGAATTATTTTAGTATATATACATATGTAAAAATATATTTCATATCTATGTTTATCCTTAACTCCTTATATTAAACTCCTGTAGTGCTTGAGTTAATAGCATAAAATTACTTATATATTATTCCTATATCACTATTTCTTATTATTATATCTGTCTCTTGTCTTTCTTATATCCGTGCAACTCCCGCGCAGATTGAGTTTGTTTCCAAATATCGATTACTACTCCCATTATGTTTTTCTTAATTTAAAAGACTCTAGAAAATTAGTTAAAAAATTACATCTCCTAAATGCTTAGAGCTAGTAGAGTCTCCAAATAAATACATATGTACATATATACTTTATAGAATTTTTATTTTTGTTTGAATCCTCTAAGGGTTTCCTCCAAGTATTTCTTCTAAGTATTACTTTATACTAACTTTACTTCACTTTACTGCACTGCACTCACTGTACGACTGATTTCCACAAGGCCTGGGCTACTGAAGAAATGCTGCAGCTGCTTCCCTTTATATAGGTCGAGTAGTGCTCAAATGTTGAGCCCGGCGGCAGGTAGGAGTCGTTTCTGTCGAGCTTAAAGAGACCAATGGGTACGCTCTCTGCTGCTGCAAGCATTTTGGCTGGGTTTTACTCAAACATAAATACCCAATGAATGCATATAGGCAACATAAGTGATCTTATGTAGTTCTTCTTCGTCTCTTGCTCTTATTCGGCAGACAGACAGAGACAGTTTGTGAGATTGAAAGGGATATAGTCAAAGAGACAGGTATACGGATAGATATATAGGCAAACAAAGATATAAATGCTTAATATGCTAATATAACATGACATTAATATTTATAATTATTAGATGACGTAGAGAGCAATTGCCTCTGTTCTATAGTTCTCTTAAGTACTAGGACTTGATAGAGTTTTCTTACTTGTTTACTTTTAGTTTTTGTTATATTTCTATGTTTTATCTATTTGTGTACATTATTGTAAA